GCTAACACTAGTATTATGCAGATAATTGTGTATCCTAAACATCGATTCTCCCATTGAGGGCATTATACTAAAAGAAAGTGTTGAGAAAAAGGACAGAAATTGTGTACCTGAATTATAAAATCAGCTAAAAATATTTGTGAAATTGATAATTTGTCAATCGTATAAGAAAGTCACAAATCACAAAATATATCATAAAAAATGTGATATCACTGTCTTCATTCATCCATTAGGACTGAATAAAGAAAGAGAGGATCATACTTAAATTTTAAGTAAAGAATAAGTCATGAAATCATTTACAAATACAAACAGTTATATATTCGAACTATGCACAACAGTACGGTCAAATACTCAAAATTTTTGAAAGTTCAACTTGAAACCAGACATTAAAATATAGAGAAAAAACTATTCGAGATTAATTGAAAATTTTCAAGCTTTATGTCGGTACTTACTACATTAACTGAAAACAAAAGGAGTTAAGGATGACATGGGATAAAAGGACCTTGCATCTGCTCATTTGCTCTAGTGCCCGGTTGGCATCATTGGCTTGCCATGTCGGGCTGTTGGAGAAGGCGACGCCGTCCAGCCATTCCACGAGGAGATGGTAATCACAAACTTAGACTCTCCTTAGAGTGCTCGCCCTAGCCAACAAGCCAATATTAAGGCAAAATCACCTAATCAAGATTCAAGTGCAGCAGCCAAAGACGAAATCGGCACGGCGATGGCACAACGCGACGACGCGGCTATTTTAGCCAATGGGCGACGGCGTGGCGTGGCGTGGCGTGGCGATTCTGGCCAACAGGCGGCGGCGCCGCAACGCTGAGTCGAGAGAGAGGAAGAGGTGGAAGATGGAACGACGATGCGTGCCGTGCCCAACGATCGACGTTGGATTAACCTGTGAAGTGCAGATGTTGGGCCTTGTTGGGCCTTGGCGTTTTGCAGATTTTGGGCTGAAGGCTAGCGAGGGGGTTCCTGAGTTTTGGATCAAGGGGTGCCTGTATGGTGGATTCATAGTGGTAATAGCTAATTTTTTTTGCTTCGGCCCGGGTGCCTGGGAACCCCCCTCCCAGGCCTATTGGGCTCCGCCCCTGCTTGTCTTTCTCTTCCGGCTCCGGCAGCACCCGCCACCCAATCACATGGCCAAAATTTCCTTGCGTCCACTACCCTCTTCAGTCCCTGTGGCTCGTCATGCTCCCGTCGTCGGTGACCATTGTTGGGCTGCCACATATCTCCCTCTAAAGTTGGGGAACTTCCCCTCTCCTCATCCCTCACCCCTCCTACCTCTTGCTTCCACCTTAAATCCTAGTTCATCAAGGTTGTCTAAGTTGGAGGGGAAGCTTAGAATTCACATCGGAAGATCAAGAATTTGCAAGATTTTTAACTTTGATCGAAGAAAAAAGAAGACCGAAGGACGCATGCATGTTTCGACATATATTACTGCAAGCATCACCACTTCTTATACTAATAGCGGTCGATTGAAATTGAGAGAATAAGTTAAATCATTTTGATTTTACTTTTTTTATTCTGAAATCGCCTTTAGCAACTAGATACCTCTATAAAATAATTGGTTAGATACATTAACTTTCTATTAAAAATTATTTGTTGATCCACTTAAAGAAAACTCGCTATACCCGGTTCCGCATATGCATGCATTTATGCTCGTAGCCTATATCCGCATCCATAGCGGGTTTGCATTTGTATGTTCATGGGAGATAGATAGATCAATGTTGCGGTTGTCCAATGCCTATCGAGGCGGCGGAACTCTTCAGAGATATCAAAGATGAAGTTGTAGTGTGGAGAGAGGCCAACATTTTTAGAGAAGTCAGCTAAAGATCCCGCTTGTGGCGGTGTGCTTGTTTTCCTTTTCTTTTTGGTTCTCCTCGACTGTTTAATGTCGATTTGTAAAAGTTTTTGAAACCTTCTCTCGCTCCTTAATACAATTTGGGCGGCCTGCCTTGGGCCGTCCCGGCAAAAAAAATGCCTATCGATCACTCATCGGATATATGGATGCATGGATGTTCGGTGTTATCTCATGCTCGAGTTCAATCCCCACTACTAGAAAAAGCATTTTCGGTGACGTAGGGGTTTTATTTTCGCAGACGGGCATGGCTATCGGGGAGAAAACCCCACCGGCAAAGACGATAACCGGGGAGGAGTTGGGCCCAAGCATGATCTGAATTCTGAACCCGATGCTCATTCACCTCTCCTGGCATGCATGGGGATGAATTGAAAGCAAGCTAGCACTCTCAATCTCTCATCGATCGATCATGGAACAATTTTATATCTAGGCATTGTACTGCTCGTTTCTCTCGTCAGCAAGACAGACAATCATGGCCAGTGGCCTATACCCTACAACATTTTTTTAATATAATCATCTAAATATTTGGATAATTAACCTAAGTAATAGTGTATTAGGTCCAACATAGGGAGTAGCTTGTGTGTCAATTGCACTGCAAGGTGTATACGTGTTCCTAAGATGAAAAAAAAAATGCTCCATCATTTTGAAGTGAATGTGCACACGATTGGATTTGCTTTTGGCTTGATTCCCTATCTATTATTGTTGGTTTATGTGTTCTCAATGGTGTCTATGATTAAGATGAGCCGCGTCGAGAGATACTAAATGTATTGAGCACCGACTTCCAGTTCTTTCATATCCTTGATGATAATGCTACTCCTGGGACTTCCACCACGTCTGAAACCATTTTTTTTAATATGCAAGAAGTGCATCTTTGTTAAGAGGAGTAAAAGTCTGTACAGATCAAAGAAAAAACAGAAGGGGACGGAAGGACATGATAGGTTATACCGTGCTAAAGCCTAATCTCACAGATGCAAGATGCGACCTAAGCAGTCCAAGGGCACTATAGGTGGATGGCCGGCATGGCGGCATTGGCCAGCCGCCACAACGCCGCCGCCTCCACCATTCCCTTTGCAACTTCCATCTAGCTTCTCTGCTTTTGGTTGAACACCCAGTTATTCTGTTCTTTCCATATTGTCCACGCTGCGAGTGTAGCAATGGTGTCGAAACTTCATCGTTGGGAGTTGGTGAAGGATTTCCTACTGTCGCACAACCAAGTATGGAAGGAGACTTCGTTGATAGGCAAGCATTCTGGGCTCCCGATGGCCGAAAACAGCAGCCACTAAAATATGATCGATGCTTTCTCCATGCTGATCGCAAAGGACGCGGAGGATGGGATTGGCATACCTTTGATGCGCAACCTATCCGCCGACCAGCATCGGTTGAGACTTGAGAGCGACTAGCCATAGGAAGTAGCGACATCGCGGTGATGCGAGTCATTTCCAAATCGGCACACATTGGAAGGGAATCCGACCGAGGAACAAACCTTAGTAGGCTGAGCGAGAAGAGTAGAGTGCCGAGCTTTCCCATTTCCACGAAAAAAATGGTCCCATCAGTCCGTGAGGTTCATCGCACGCAACAACAACCAGAGGTTGAGGTAGTCGAGAATGGCCTGGGTCCTGAGGGCTCCTTGAATATCGCGGATCCAACTTCTGTTGAGCAGTCCCTCCACCACTGTTCTCCTCGCTGAGTTCGCTTAGGGACACGATCGTAGAGCGCCGGTGCTAGCGAGCGGATACAGGATCCATCTAACCATCGGTCCTCCCAGAACAGCGCCGAAGCACCATTGCCGACCCGGCAGATCATGGACGCAGCCACGAAGCTGTGTTCCTTTGGAGAACAGGGGATTGATAGACCTTGCCAAGGCTTTTCCTGAGAAGTGCGATGGGACCATATCCAGCATGAACGAATTGCGATCCCCATGAGCTCTAGGTTCAGTACTCCCAGACTGCCATACGTTGTAGGGGAGCAGACATTCGACCAAGCAACCTGACAGTGACCGCCATGAGCGTTGGCCCTGCCCGCCCAGAGAAAACCCTAGCGGATTTTGTCTATTCCCTTGATTACCCACTTCGGCGGATCAATGGCAATTAGGTGGTAGATGGGCACCAAGCTTAGGACCGATTTTACCATGGTAATGCGACCTATCGGTTCCATTTGCTCAGCCTTCCACGTCGGTAGCCGGTTAGTGACTTTGTCGATGAGTGTTGCAGATCTTCTTTCTTTAGCCGGAAAATAGACAGAGGGAGCCCCAGATACTTGCACGGGAAAGCTGCAAGTGGGCAAGGAAGTTCAGCTTGCGCTAGTAATAGGTCTTCTTCAGAGCATTGTATCGGCAGGGCCGCGCATTTGGCGAAGTTTGCCCATAAGCCCGAAGCCTCACCGAAGATGTTGAGGATCTCCGTGGCTGCCCTGATCTCTCGCACTGTAGGCTAGATGAATGCGACCACGTCGTCAACGTAGAAAGACACCCGGTGAGGGACACTGAGAGGTTGAAGCAACCCTTCATTCTGAGCCTTAACAAAGAGGGAGCTCAGGGAGTCTATCACCAAGATGAAAAACAAGGGGGATATAATTGGGTCATCTCGCCGAATGCCGCGGCGATGAACTACACCATCCCCCGGCATGCCATTCAGAAGGATCTTCATGCTTGCCGTACGCAGAAGCATGGCAATCCAGGAGTTCCAACGTTGTCCAAAGCCCTTGTGCTCCAGGACTTCCAGGATGATGAACTGCCAAGAGATGGAATCGAAAGCTTCGGCGATGTCCAACTTGAGCCGCAAGGCCGGCCGCCGTCTCTCGTGCAAACGCTTGGTTGATTGATAGAACATCGTAAAGTTGTCCGGGATGCAGCGATCTTTGATGAATGCGCTCTGGTTTGAGGCGACCAGAGTGTGAAGCTTGGGGATGAGGCGGCGTCTGAAACCATTAATTGGACGCTTTGTTTGATGTTTCCAATTGTTGAACAATTGATTTATACTTCCATGCATGCTCCTACTGCATTGTATAAACTGTCTTATTACATGTTTTACATTTATTTTGTTACAGTAGATCTTGCCCCTAGACAACAAAATAAAGTATATACTAGAAGTCGAGAACAGGTCGTCTGTAAGTGTAAGCTAACATCTCAAGAAAATTATTTTTGGGATGCCACAACTCACAACGTATTACTTCTTATTACTTTACTGGTACACCACAATATTAAAGTACAAGTAGATGCACGACAAAACCAAAGAGAGTACACGAAGATGATAATAGATTATCTGTACAACGGAAATAATTAAATTTGTAACATTTAAGTAAAACTCATTTCAACAGTTTTAGTAACCCCCATCTTCACAAGCAGGCAAGACTAAGTAAGGTCTCCGGCGAATAAGGCAAGACTAACCAAGTTTCTGTTTGCAGGAACTTGGTGAATTATACTCTCACCATAATCACCAAAGTCCAAAGAAGACAAACCACACCTTAATTGCTGGCCGGAGCACAAACCTTCAAACCTACGACCCAAGCTAGGGTGACAAAACGGTGAGTGCTAATTAAATATATAGCCATTTATTCCACTGAAATTCATCTGCTTCAACCTTCGAATAATTCTTCTAATAGCTCCTTCAACTGCTCAGGAGTAATTTTGGGAGGTCGATTGTGCATTCCCCTTGCTGCTCGCTCCTCCAGATACATGCTATAATGCGGAATGATTTTCTGGATGATGGCTTGACGTAATCTCTGCCGAAGCTTAGGGTCTGGAACCTTGAAAAACTTGTGCTTCGCGTAGGTTTTTCTGAATTCTATCTCAAAATTTTCAAGAGACAGGTATCTTCGGAAGCCGAAAGCAGGTCTGTAGGTTTTCTTTCGAGGAGTATCAGAAGAATTTCCGATGAAGATGCAGCACAACAGAGGCGACCAGAAGACGTCAATGTAAGTGTCTATGTACCTCCGTGTCCTGCATCTGTCTATCAAGGCCCAAGATGGCAGGTCCAGGGATTCGATGCGGTGCAACACAAGCTGCCAATTGTTTAGCAAGAAAATGCAACGCAACGCTGGGTCCAAGATGGAATTGGAAAGGGAGGAGGCAATTTCCTCCAATTTGTGGCCAAGGCAAGAGATGATGTCGGTGATCAGGTTCACGACCGAGCTGAAGCCCTGGGTGTGAGAGACGAACACGCTGAAGTGGTGATCCTGCAGGATGAAGGTGAGGACGTCGTCGTTGCGCCAGAGAAGCGCGATGTAGTTCATCATCAGCACGGTGGTCTCATGGACTCCTGATGCTGATGCCTCCGGCGAGACTTGCCAGCATCCATCCTGCAAGAAGGAGGATCGAACCTTCTCCATCATGTCCCAGATCGCGTCGCTCAGCTTCTTCCTCTTGCGCAGGAAGATGCCGTCCATGCCGTCGAAAACCTGTGCCTCCTGGCCATGGCGGGAGGAGCCGGAAGCGAGGAGATCGGATGCTTCTTTGAACATGGCGAGCACGGTCGGAGAGGCCTCGGAGATGCAGGCGTACACCTGCAACATCCCCGGGAGCGCCTCGGCCACCCGGTGGTCGTCGTCGTCCTCCTCGACGACGGCGAGAGTGGCGGCGTCGACGAAGGCCAGCATCCTGAGGATGCTCTCCTCCGCGAACCGCGCGAACTGGACCACCTGCTGCACGTAGTCCGCGTGCGCCGTCTTGCTGTCGCGGCGGAGCAGGAAGAACTGGATGGCTCTCCGGACTCCGGCGACGGTTGGCTTCTTGGCGCGGAGCTCGAGCTGCGTGATGCAGAGAACCTGCACCATGGTTAGGAGGGCTCGGATCCACCGCTCCATAAGCGCCATCAAATCTTCCACGGGAAGAGGAGGAGGTCGTCGTACGTGTTCGTCTTCTTCTTCCTCGCTGCAGGTATGGAGGAGCAGGACCCACTCCACGTCGAGCTGCGAGAACCAGTTATGGAGGAGAAGCTCGTCTGGGGGGCCACGCCGTCCGGCGGCTCCGGCAGTGGCCGCGCCACCGAAAGCCCTGATGAGCCCCTCGATGTAGCCGTCACGGACCATCCGCTCCGCGATGCTGCGAAGCTCGTGGACCGTGGAAGAAGAACACCAGCAGACGTCGTAGCAGCAGTCTCCCTCGCGCCAAGAGGAGGAGGAGCTGCAAGACGATGGAGCCGGGCTTGAGCTCCCGCTCGACCAGCCGCCGCCGGCCACCGCTGCACCACCATCGCCACCAGTACTGGCGATCTGCGGGACGAAGGGCGCCGCCTCCGGCCAGCGCGACATGGCGGCGCCGCCGCCGGAGACGCCCCGTATCAAGTCGCGGTACCCGCACAGCCGGTGCTGGGGGCAATCGATATCGACCGCCCCTACCACCATGATGCTGCCATCGCTTCGTGTGGTCTCCATGGACGGCAATCCGCCAAGATCAAGAACTCGAGGAGGCCAGTCGCCAGTAGAACACCGGCTGAATTGTCTCCAGCCGCGGCGACCTCTTCCGGCACACGGGAATGCTCTGCTTTACTGTTACTGATGAAGACGTATTTACTGCTACTGGACACGTACCACCTATAATAATGAATCTAGACATAAGGTTATTTTTCTTTCATGACGAAATGAGTATTTCCCACGACTGAAACAAATGTTGTGGGAGGTAGCACAAAGAAGTTATCTACACTGATCACGTGTCCTTACACGAACAAGATGTGACATGACTGGGACATTATTATTAGGAGGAGGCATCAATAGGTCACGGGCCACAAGGAGAGGTTGGGCTGCAACCAAGAAATTAACCTCACAAAAGGAAAGCCAAGTGATTATTATAGGGCTTGTTTGTTTTAGTGCCAATCCTTATCTTACCAATATTTTAGTAGTGCCTAAACATTAGTAAGTTTTGACACCAAATCTGATATAATACAATTTATACTAGTGAGAGCATAAATTGGTAGCAAATCAAATAACTATACAACACTATCAAAGTTACCAAAAATTTGGGGTTGGCAAAATTTTTCATCAATCCAAACAAGTTTCGGATGAACAGTCAACACGGTGTTCATGACCTAGGTTAAGAACTTCAGACTAAGTGAGAATTTTATTGTTACTAGTAATTATGCATGTGCATGGCACGTCTTCCTGCTCATTGAATTGAGAAACGTTGCATGGACATGTTTACTCACTTAATTCAGGTAGTGCATGCCAAGCCGGTTAAAACAGAAATCTGGATTTTACAAGTGGCACCATTGGTCTTGCTATGATAAGCCATGAGGAACTCGCGGGAGATATTTTTTTTTCTCATCTAAATTAAGTGGCCTGGATCTTCTCAGCTACCTCTCAGCTACCTGTTTAGATCTAGGGATGTAACGTTTTGGTATATCACATCGGATATTATATAGGATGTCGTATGGGGTGTTCGGGCACTAATAAAAAACTAATTACAGAATCCGTCAGTAAACCGCGAGACGAATTTATTAAGCCTAATTAATCTGTCATTAGCAAATATTTAATGTAGCACCACATTGTCAAATCATGGAGCAATTAGGCTTAAAAATTTGTCTCGCAAATTAGTCGCAATCTGTACAATTAGTTGTTTTATTAAACTTATATTTAGTACTTCATGCAGGTGTTCAAACGTAAACGTTCGATGTGACATGGTGAAAATTTTTGGGGTGGGATCTAAACAGGGCCCATATCACCACCTAAAGGAAAACAAAGCCTAAGTTGAGAATATAGAATTTTGCTTCCCAAACTAAATCTGCATATTCTAATGACAATTATTCTTGGAAAAAAATGGAACAAGAACAGAGTACACTATCCATATAAAATTCATTAAATATATTTGTAATTTGTAATGATATGCAATTAGGAAAAATCTCAATATATACACAGGTAACCTAAATATATATAAATCTAAAAACAGACACTGACATAAATATAGATATTCTGAAGACATACACATGTGACATGAATCTATATAACCTGCAGATATAAACAGGTGATCATAAGATTCACACAATATATCACTTAACAAGCATTTGTCAAACATCGTTTGGGAATAGGGAGTGTTAGCTTTTATGCTATTCCTTAAAAGGACATGGACTCAGATTACCATGGAAGGTAAGGTGCCGAATGTAAACCAATCTCAAACGAAAACATTTAAGGTCTAATTGACAAGTTTCTTAAATCATCTGTGAGGCAAAACTATTCTAATATAATTCTTTCGAAACCCCAATCAGGTGTCTCTGATAATTGCAACGATGTGCAAAATTTAGTTGCTTTAAATTGCACACGGTTAACTTGTATAAATGAAACCGGAACTGCAATCCTATAGTTTGACTCTGCTCTCTGCATAGAATGAAAAAGCAAAAGTATAATTCCAGTAAATGAAATGGATAAGATAAGCACTTCTATTTTATTGGTGGCTTCTGGTCCTTCAATATCATCTTACCCAAATTGAAAGATGCACAAAATTCTGAAGGCGTATTGATCCACTTTGGTTCCCTCATCTAGTATATAATAAGAAGAAAAACAGTGGGCAACATGCCATACTTCTTCCCCATAATTCATACGCTGATAAACAAATGTCATTATGTTAAGACCATCAACTCACATGAATAAGTTCTTATCGATTTGCATGCCTACAAAGAACACCGATCTTGCAATTGAATTATACTGTATGCAGATTGTGCACACTGGATTCTGCAGTGCACGCTAGACTCTACAGATTGAATCAACCATGATACTAAAATTATACCATATGTAGGCTGTAGAAATGCAGGGCTAGAAAAGAATTATGTGATGAAACAGATATATTTTATATTGGTATAGATGCAGATAAGTTAATCCATTGAGGATCTGCCTTGTATAGGAAGAGACCATTGATTCCCATGCCATATTAACATTATCAAGTACTCCCTCCGTTTTATAATGTAAGTCATTCTAGCATTTCTCATATTCATATTGATGTTAATGAATCTCATCAATATGAATATGAGAAATGCTAGAATGACTTACATTGTGAAACGGAGGAAGTAAAAAACTGGTTCATTGGATGACATGGGAATAGCAAACTCACCGTAAGTTCTCCACGGATCTCCACTTTCCCGACATTCTTGAACAAGCAAATAGCAACCACACACCAGATGTGATAGTAGTTTGTCAAGGCAGCTCCGTGTCAAGCATACCAGGACAAGAGCTTTAAGAACCATAGAAGGCTCTTAGAATACATGAACGTGTTGTAGTGTCTGTAGAGATTCTTTCAGGTAAAAACTCTACATAATCTTTCAGCAAGCCTCTGCATTAGCATTGGACAGGTATCGTTTTCTAAGTTACTCTGATTTCTAATCCTTTAACCTAAGTCTCCACTATGTCGTTCAGTTAATCAGTTGGGTGTGATCGCAATTTCTGGCATAGCTCAGTTGCATACTATAATGCCAGAAAAAAGATTTACCAAGAACATTTACCGTAATATTTAGCTTTTGACAAAGTTTTCTCTCCACACAGCTAGTGTAACAACAGTAGGAAGAAAGTATTTTTCTTAATAAAATTCGCAGGATTTCAAGGAGTATGCCATAATATCATTGCATGCTTCTGACGAAAAGCTCAAAACAGCACAGAATTAGAATGCCAATCATACTTTCACATATACAGAAGTAATTCAGTCCACAAAAAAAAGGAGAAGATGTGGCATGGAGGCAGCATTTTATTTGCAAGTTTGTGATAGTTAGGATGGATCTTTGTTGGAGAGAAAATTTTGAACTCGAGATGCATAGAAACATGGATGTGTTGGCCAAATGCTAGCTGACAAACAAAAAAAAGTGCACATCCTTGGAATTTTCTAAACAAATGCAAAATTGGCGCACCATGCTGATGTGACTCAAAACTCTACAGAAGTAGTCTCCTTTTTTTTAAAAAAAAGTTCTGAAAACAAATATATATAAGCACAACCCCTGCAGTAAAACAAGTGATATTGTCACATTGCTGAAACATAGCACAACTTTTCTTCAAGTTCACTTTTGCAATAGGAGCATCATACAATTGATTCCATAGTTAATAATTTACAGCAACCGTTCGTCAAAAATTTTATTCAAAAGCTCATAAAAGAAGCTCGCCTCAATGTAATTATCTGATTGTTTACTAACTTCAACAAAAAACGAAAATCACGGTAACTTGTTTTTGGATCGTGTTTTCATATACCAAATGCAACCGTCAAGACTCAAGAACGAGGAGAGAGAGAGAGAGCAGACCCGGAGAGCGGCGGAGAAGGCGGTGACCCAGAGCGGCGGTGGTGGTGCGTCCAGCGGCTCCGAGCGGCCCACTCCCTCGGCGATGACGGTGGCACCCTTTTCCGAGTGGCGTGGAACAGCAGAGACGGTGACGACATACAAATCCGAAGCGGCGACAGGTGAGAAATACCTTAGACCCTGAAGAAACAAAATTTTAGAAACTTGGGGAAAAAAAATTAATTTCAACACTAACAAAAAGAAAAATTAAAAACTTTGAAAAATAATTTAATTTTGAACCCTGAAGAACAGAAATTTTAAAACCTAGGAAAACAATTTAACTTGGTCCTTGAATATAAAATGAAGTTGAAAAATACCTTAGACCCTATAGAAATAAAATTTTAGAAACTTGGGGAAACAATTTAATTTTGACACTAACGAAAAGAAAAATTAAAAACTTAGGAAACCAATTTAATTTTGAACCCTAAAGAAGATAAGTTTTAAAAAACCTAGGAAAACAATTTAACTACGTTGAAGACAAAATGAAGTTGAAAAATACCTTGGATCCTGAAGAAACAAAATTTTAGAAACTTGGGGAAATAATTTAATTTCGACACTGATGAACAGAAAAATTAAAAACTTAAGTAAGCAATTTAATTTTCAACCCTGAAGAGGGGAAATTTTTAAAATCCTAGGAAAATAATATAACTTTATGAAAATTGCAAGTTGAAAAATACCATAGATCCTGAAGAAACAAAATTTTAGAAACTTGGGGAAATAATTATTATTTCGACACTGATGAACAGAAAAATTAAAAACTTAAGTAAGCAATTTAATTTTCAACCCTGAAGAGGGGAAATTTTTAAAATCCTAGGAAAATAATATAACTTGATGAAAATTGCAAGCTGAAAAATACCATAGATCCTGAAGAAACAAAATTTTAGAAACTTGGGGAAATAATTTAATTTCGACACTGATGAATAGAAAAATTAAAAACTTAAGTAAGCAATTTAATTTTCAACCCTAAAGAAGGGAATTTAAATAATTTAACTTATTGAAAATTGAGGTGCGGTGAGCGTGGATCGAACACGCGACCTTCAGATCTTATTGAAACGTGTCAACACATTGACCGTTTTACTACACTTCTGAATGGAATACCGAAAATTTAAATTTTGAGAGAAAGCTCATTTTCTGGGTTTTTCATCATACTATGTTCTAGCCTTGACTATAAAATCGTGAATGATATTGGCATAAAGGTTTTGCTTATTAATTTTTTTATTGCTCCGTCCAACCACAGCTCAACCGATCGGGGCATTTGTTTATTATTCAACTTATATTGAAGGGAACCTAAATCTACACAAATAAGTAAAAAAAATTAAACATTTGACCATTCATTTTATTCATTTTTTTGCAAATATAAAAAAATAACTCATGCTTAAAGAATACTACATTTGATAATAAATTAAGTCACAATAAAATAAATAACAATTATTTTTAATATAATTAATGGTCCAATATATTTTAAAAAGTTAACGACGTGATATATTA